GCTGCTGTGGGGTTTAATTGACTTTCAAATAGACCAAAATGTCTCAATGGGCTCTCCAGGGCCTTGTCTTTAGCCACTGTTTTAACCCTAACTCAAGCCCATTTCTGCTTTAACTGTCTCAAGCCAGTCCTGTGGCTGCTTGTACATCAGAGTACTGTCTATGTCCCCAACCCACACTGCCTAGGATGGTTTTGAGTCCTATTTGTACATCTCTCTTATTATTCTTTGAGTCCCAGATCAGACATTGCATCTTGGTGAAGTTTTTTCATGGCCTGTCATTATAAAATGATTTTCTTAATCCTAAACTGGAGTTAGCAGATAAAGCTGGATTTTAATCTTCATAAAAGTAAACATGCTAGCCATTGAAGTGATCATGGGGTTCTCAATGGAGGAGTTAGAGTGAAGACTGAAGGAGCTGAAAGGATTTGTGGCCCCATGAGGAGAGCAACAATACCAACCAACCACAGCTCCCAGGGTCTAAACCACCAGCCTGGGAGCACTTATGGAGGGATCCAGGGCCTTAGCTGAATATATAAGAGTGGAGGGCCCTGCTGGGCACAGGTGGAAGATGAGATCTTTGACCTCATGAAGGCTGGACGCCCCAGGGGGTGGGAGTTTTGAGGGTGGGGAGGTGGGAGTGGGGGGGTAGATAGAGGTTACATCCACAAAGAAGAAGGAGGAGGTGTGAGGGGATTGGGGGTTCCTGGGTGGGTGGGGGATGGGGTAAGGGGACAACATATGAAATGTAAATAAAACATCCAATAAAAAAATTAAAAAAAAAAAAAAGTAAACATGAATGGACGACATCCAGTACTCATCTCTAAGGGGAAACAGAGCTTTGAATCGTAACATGATCTTAGGGGAAAGAAACAGAGATATAGAAAAATCAATAATCAGAAACAAAGAGAGTAAACTCTGAAGTCACAGTCTCATAAATGCAAAGCAAAACAAGACAAAAAAAAACATACATGAATACCCGGCAGAAAGGACACTTGGCAACCCACAAAACTTCAGAAGGTCCAAGGAAAATGAGCAATAAGAAAAATCCAATGCAGTTTGAAGACGGATGTCTCTAATAGACCATTTCAGTAGATGAAATTGTCACAGCTAACCAGTAATATGAAAAGCCTGCACATTAATGAGAATAGGAAAACAAATAGAAAACACCGAAGACTATGAAGATCGTGTGATTAAATTTACTGCTGCTCAGACTCTATCTCTTGGTTCTATTAACTCTATTGCTTGTTTCTGTTTTACCTGTTAAATAATAACCCCTAATAATAATAATAACCCAATAACAGTGGCTAGAGTGCTAGGTCTTTATTTTTATATAAAAAATTATATAAGAGATGTCTAGTGAGTAGTTAGGCCCCAGTAAAGCTGTTATAAAGTTAATTGTTGCTTTAACAATTAATTTGAGATGACAGTAAAAATAGCCACATTCCTTAAAAAATACATTTTAAAACTAAATAAAATTCTGGAAAATGGTGCTGGAAAGGAAAGTTTCATGGAAGGAGTGCCTCAAGTCACACAGTGCTGTGAAAATGGGGACAGGAAGGTGGTGACCCAGAGAGAAACAGTAGGGACAGCACAGGCCAGTGTCATATTTCTGTGTCCAGCCTTGCTTTATGTTTCAGAGCATGCTCCCTGGGGTTCATATGTCACATTTAGTTTGAGACTTTCTAAAAATACAAATTCATGAGACACCCTGGCATGCCTAAATTAGAATATCTTGGTGTGAAGCCAAATAATCTGTCTTTAACCCATCTCCCAGGGGAACTCTTAGGCTTCCTCATCCAGTAGGACCTTTATACTGTCTCTCCCCTGGACCGACAGGAACAGCTTTCCCTGTGGTGCTTCCACAGGCCCTGCTATGTGTGGAGTTCTTTAGGGATGGGGCTGTGGAAGGACTTTAGATTTGTGAGCGTAGAGGCTTAAATAAACAGATTAGATAATTACTTAAAACAAACAAAAAATCTTAAAACAAACTTAGGTTCAAAATATTAATATGTATTTAGAATAAGAAAGGAGATTAAATCATTAACTTTTAAAGAATAGTATTGTAATCGCTAGAATAATATTAAAATTCAACTGCCTTACATCAAGGAATCACACTGCTTTCAGTTATCTTTTTATTTGACATCTGTTTACCACTGTAATTTTGTGTACAGACAGTATGAAGATAGTTGTCTCCCATGAAAGCTTTGACAGAAAATTTTAATTATTGATGGTTATCATACATAAACTTACAATTCTACATAAGAAAACATCTGTTGTACATAACATATAAACACAAGTATTCTAATTAGTTCTATATTTTGCATATAAAACAAAAGGTAAGAGGAGTGTAATTATGTGTGGTGAACTGAGAGTAGAATATTTCTTTTTTGGCTAGGTAACCATGAAAACTGAACTATAGATTTACATTTTTACATATGTGGATGTGTCCTTTTCTTTCTAGTATACCTCTTCTTTATTCTCCATGTATTTATGGTGCTGCCCACTATGGGTCCCATTTATAGACAGTGTGTCCTCTTGGTTCAATATTGTCATGTTCCCATGTTTAGTGAGTGGGTCCCATGGATTGAAAGTAAAGTTCCCAAAACACATTCTACCAGCAGGAAAGCCATCAGTGATGTATCTGTATGGATACTGCAGGCCATGTAAATATATTCCACACCATCCCAGCTGCATAAACTCTTTGGTTCAGTTTCCTCTTAATTGAATCTCCAGGGTACCTGCAAGTCCTCCAAAGTCTCATTGTGAAGGGAAACTGGAGTAGAGAAAGACAGCATCTAATAAACTCCACTGAGAGCATCCTTTACACTCAGTTCATAGGAATATTTGCCTGTGTTCTCACATTCCTGGGACCCTCCTTCCAGGATGTTCAAAAGAAGCCTGTCCCAGTAAGGACTTGAAATTCAATTTCATTCATTGAACAATAATTATTTTTCTAACAAGGAACTAGAAGACATATTTGAGAATGTTTCCCGCCTATTTGTTTTTAGCAATTCAACATATTTAGATTGTTAATGAGAGAATATGATATCCTCAGTCCACATGGATCCCCTAACTGGTATGGGGTTATTGATATGAGTTATATTACAGTATCTTACATTTGCCTGGCAAAACCTTCTACTATAACTATTCCCAGGAATTTTCTCTCTGACTTCCCTGCTTGTAGTTCATTTTGTAAACTTGGAGAGTAAAGAGTTGGAAACATGGTGGGAATGCTAGACCCAGTGCCACTGAGAGATACCCTTTAAGCTGTGCAGCAAAGGGTCTGAATTCAAACCTTATGATTTCACAGGGCTTTGAAATCTCCATAAGTCAATAATAGTGTTTGACAAAAGTCACTGTTTCTTGGGACCCCAAGGGTTTTTTAGAGAAGTTTCAAGGAACTTTGCTTTCTTGATATTTAACATGATAGTTACAAGATTTTATCTGAAAATTGTTATACTATAAAAAGTCTTAACAAGGAAGCTATGTTTTCAGATGCTTTCCAATATTTAGAATGTGCTAGGCATCTTTCCCCAATAATCACCCTGAGCCCCAGGTATCACTAATTATAATTGTTGGGTGTCTTTTGGATTTTAGTAATTAGTTGAGGTTGAGTGATGGCATTACAGACCAATAGAATTCAGGCTTGTCTACCTATATGATAACGGAGGTAGGTAATGCTATTACTAGTTACTGGGTGCAGAATCTGTAATTGTTACTTAATTAAACAGATTGTAGGTGCCTTTAAAAATGACACCACTGATTTTGATGTATATACCTATTACAGAGAGTTGCTCTTCAATGTAACCATTGTATTATCAATTTTTAACTATGTATCTAAAAATTCTTGCTATCTCTATCTCTACCCTCTTGCATTTATTGAACACATCTTTCCAACAAATGATCATTTCATACCTAGATGAATAGTGGAACTCTTAGTTGTGGTGACTCACAGGGAAGCAGCTGAAGTAAGATAGTAGGCAATACGATGAGTTTCTCTACATTTGCCCCAGAGCATCCTACAGATCCGAACAGCAGGATCCATATGCCAAGATTCTTATGTGACTCATCTCCCTGCTGTGCCAGAAGTATTATGATCACGTACAGAGGTTAATTTCTATAACTCTCACTCAGATCTTTCAGAAAACTAGCAGCTAGAAATCAAAAGGCCTTACAGAGATGACTCCAGGACTCCAGGATCACTGTCTTATTTCATAGAATGATTGAATAGAAAATAAAGGTCTTGTCTCCTATAGGCTTTCAGGAGATATTTTTTCTCCTTTTGATTGATCTTCATGCATAAAAGGCCCATGTTGTGTCCATATCCTTTATCTGTAATATATAAAAGAGTTATTGGGAGCTGTGTGATAAAACCGAGATCATTTAATAGTGCAGAATTAGTCCTTGGCTGATGATTCCCAGAACAGTGGAAATCAACACACAGTAGACAAGGGTGTCGTCACTATTCTTGGTGAAGGTTCAGCTGTTAGCCGAAGTTGTGTCCACAAGACTATTCCTAACTCCATAGGGAGATGGCAAAATTGTTGCATTGGAGACATTTTGTTTTTAACTCTCAAAGTATATTGCCAGATTAGTTATTTTTATGCTACCCACATGCAGTGTCAAGGTTAATTTGTTTGCTCAGACTAATACCACCTTGAGTACTAGGACTTTGGGGGCCCTCTGAATAGCACGTTCAAAACACAGTTGGGAGTCTAAGGGTTCCTTTAGAAAACAGCTTCCAGGGCATGCTTTCCTTCAAAGATGTGCATGAGTGTCTTCACACTCATCAAGAAATAAGGTTGCATCAAATAAAGAGACTGAAGTGAGCACCCAGGAGAGCTGATTTTGTCCAGAGGAAACAGACTTAGAGTTGTCAGAAAGTGGGGATGTACAGCCAGCAGCCAGCCATAGCCCTTTATCAGTTGATCCTCCCTGCCTTTTCTCCCCTCTTTCAGAGGTTTTAATGTGAGTGGTTCTCTGTACCTGCTTCCTTTCAGATGCCTCAGGAACAGTACTCACACCACAGGAGCGCCATGCCCAGCTCTGAGGGGCCACACATATACAAAGTGGGGATTTACGGCTGGAGGAAAAGATGCCTGTATTTCTTTGTCCTGCTCCTCATGATTTTAATACTGGTGAACTTGGCCATGACCATCTGGATTCTCAAGGTCATGAACTTCACAATTGTAAGTAAAATGGTATAGATGTGTTAGCTCTCAATGGAGGAAAAGGAAGCATGGAGCAAGACAGCAAAGGAATGTGGAAAACTGCTGTCCTATGACCTGGCATTTGAGTTCAAGTTGAATTGGAGTACCAGCTTCTGTTTAATATCAGTTCTTCTGAGGCTGAGAATCCAAATGTAGAGTCGTATCTGTCACTTAAGGTATCTTATAGGCCTTCACTACATCATCACAATATTTCTGCATCCTATGGTCTTTAACTACCTTGAACAAGTAAATCAGAGAGAAATAAACGATAAAATGAAATTTGTTTTCAGGAAATTCAGTAGCAATCATGAATCATTTCACCAGGCAAGAGTTGAAATGCACAAGCACAGCTGAGCTTCAAGAATCATCTAAGAATGTTAGTAGTCAGGTGTAAACCTGGTTGTAAATTGTAAATTGTCAGTGAACTGCACTCTGGTTCACTAACAATCTTCAGTTTGGGGAGAGAAATCTTTTCTACTATTGCATGGATAAAGTGGAAATGAGAGGAACCCAGCTGTATCTCCTTGCTTTGTAAGTTTTTCAAGGATGTGCATTTTCACAAAACTCTTGCTTCTCGTGCTCAGAGAGTTATTTAGACTAGTCATTGACTTGTTGGAATTCAAGTGAAGAGGATACTGTTGCAAATATAATATGTGTGTAGTCTGAACTCTTTTTAATTTAGTGATTTAATTCTGTAGAATCAATATAATTAACTTACTAATGAGGAGGTCACAGATGCTAATCTGCAGCCCAGGGAATACATTTTCTCATTCTGATGTCAAAAGCTAATGGACAGGCAATAAAACAACTCCTTATTGATAAAGAAATAGAATCATAACAAAGTGAACAGTGAAGTTTTCCTGTGAAAAATCCCAAATGGGAACACAGATATTTGGGGTGTTTTTGTTCTTGGCTTGCTTAGGTTGTATCTATTGCTTGGTATGTTTCCCTCTGTCTCTCTAACCTGAAAGTAAAGCAATCTGATGCTTTCCCACTGCCTTTATGTATCTCATGTTATATTTACATCTCCAGAGTATGTATTTTCCAAACAAGCTGAGATTTTTATGCATAATTTCTCTGTGTGCCTTTGTCCATTACTCATGGTGGAGCCTACTGGTACCTGGGTTAAATGCGGTGTGTCTACAAACCAAGTTAGAGATATAGCTTCAGGCTAAAGAATGGATTATTCTTTAATATTCAAGATTAAAGTTCAGAAACATACAACCGAAAGTAGTCCTAATGTTTCATAACTCTATCTTGAAAATGTTTCAGTTACTTTGTAGAATATAAGATAGCTTTCTGTATTCCAATATCAACTTTGGGACAGAGCATTGGTCAGTTTCCATGTGGCTGCTTTGAGTGCCTGATCATCATTCTAGAGTGTTGGTACACATTATGATTTTGTAGATGGCACTCAATACATAAAATTTGAATACACAAGGTTCATAGAAATATTTCAGTAAAGAAGAGTACAATCAGATTTTATCTAGTGTTGGCAAGTGAGGATGGGACAAAATGGATGAAGTTTCTAGCAATTTCTGTGAGAGATGCTGTCTTCACCCCATGAAGTATTAAGTCTAGCTGACTCTGATGTTTATTAATATGACTATTCCATAGTGTTCTTAAATTTAACATTTAAAAATTATATAAACTGAAACAGCTTCTATACTACTATATTAAACATGGGAAAGCAAACAGTTATGCACAGCATAGAGAGCAACAGCTCAGACAATTAAAGGATAGACTTTACGAAACTTGACTAATGGTTGATATGTCAGGGTTGGGGAAAATGACAATTTGGAAGAATTTCTGTTTATGGCCAATGGAAGAATGAGATGGTCAGACTCTGAAAGCATGATTGACTTTGTGACTTCCCCAGTGGAACTTCACTGAGGACCTGAGCCTTTCCTCTGCTGATAGAGGTAAATGTCTCTATTCCCCTAATTTTTGTGATTTAAAAAAAAAATCTGTTCTGATGCTTAGCTCTAAAATGGGAGCGATTTAGGGACTGAAGTACAAAGTAAGAGCTCAAATATGAACATATTTGCCTAAAAATGAAAAAAACCTTCAATATTAAGCAGATATGACTTATAGAGTCAACTTCATCTGACAAGATTCAAAGAAGCAGATGCAAATATATACAGAACGTCATTTACAATAGGCGGATGTAAGCTAGGAGATCAGTATGACAGTAAGGTAATCATCGCTATGAAATCAACTATTTCCTGTATTTAACTAAATTGAGTGCTAGACTTCAGAGTCCTTAAAGCTTTACCATACCAAGTATTTATTGCAGTGAGAATAATGTCATTATTAGTCATAATTGGTGTTTTACAGTAGTAGTGCATTTGAGCAAATAGAACTCAAGTATTAGAAAATTGGTCTTGCCCTGCAAGTTAAAAGCATATTTCATCCATCAGTCACTGCATAAAACATAGTCCCTTAGAATTATAATTCTATGACACAAATAATAATTTAGTTACAATAAAGATCTTGGAAAACTGGAACGACGCACTAATCAATATTCTACTGGAGAGTATGAGTTGGGAGAGCAAAGAGAATCAATGAGGTGACAGAGCATCATTTTATTCAGTGCTTTTAAACATATTACCAATTGAAAAAAAGTGGTTGTTTTATGTGCTTGAATTGTTCAAAAATTGGGGGTTCAAGAAGGCTTGCATTATAATCAACTCCCCAGCATACAACAAGCTAAGAGGTTGATGTCATTGGGACCTAGAAATTTATACAATACTGCACACTATGGTTGTTTGCTTTGGTGTCAGAGTTGTGTTTTGTTCCATCCCTAAGGATGCAAAGCCTGTAGAAGGGCTGTTGCTATAACAACATGGATTTACAAATGAGCTTTTCTTATTTTGAAGTAAATCTCAAGGTAAATAAATTTGCTTTCCCCTACTTATGGCAAAATACCACAGTGCCCATGACTGGTTAAGAGACTGGCTACAATTCTCTGTTTCCTCTACATTGGAAAGCATATCATTTCCCAATATTAATACCCAGAAATTAGCCTGTCTTCATCGAGCACACTGTCCTGAATAAGAAAACTAACATTTCTAGTGTCTATTCTCTGCTAGATGCTGTTCATAACACTTAAAATTTTTTGGTAAATTTCAAAAAAATTTGTATAAATAAAACAGTTTTAATCCTTTGTAGTAAAAGAGAGCCCATGCTTAAGAGAAGCTAAGTGATTTGGTGAAAGAATGTAGTTAGTGAGTCCAAAAGGGGTGTTCAGCCTCAGTGTCCATCATCAGATGCTCAATGCTGACAACAGAATGTCCCAAGCAGCTCCACATAATAGGGTAGTTGTTGAGATCTCAGGCTCTGGAGACTTTCTAATTATAGTTCATGCTTCCACCAATGACCATGTGACCTTTCAGAAATTCCACACCATCTCTGCACTGCCATATCCCAGAGGTCACAGAAGGGCACACCTCACAGAATTGCTGTGATTATTATAGGAAGTACTGAAGGTGGGATTTAGGATAGAGCCTGACATAGACACATTTTATATACGTGTTTGATTTCATCATCATGGTCTTTTGCAAGCTCTACTTGTATTGTTACTATTGCCATTGGCAAATAGAACCTAACTTATTACCTATAACTAATTCATGTTAGATTTGTCTTAGATTTTTTTTTGTCTACTTAGCACAAGTTAAGGTCATGTCGAAAGAAGAAACATCAATTGAGAAAATGCCTCTACTGAATTGGCCCATAGACAAGCCTGTAAGGTGATTTTCTTGATCAATGACTGATATGGGAAGTCTGGCCCACCATGGATAGTGAGTGGTCCTGGATTGTATAATAAAGCAGAATGAATGAGCTACTGAGAGAAAACCAGTAAGCAGTGTTCCTCTGTTCCCATTTAATGAGTTCCTGCCATGACTTCTATCACTGATGGACTATGAAGTGAAAGTATAAGTTAAAATAAAACAAAACAAATAGATAAAACTACAAACAACAACAACAAGGCTGCCTTTCCTCAATTGCTTTTGATAATAGTATTTATCACAGCAATAGATAGCAAACTAGATCATAGACTATTATAAACTTCGAGAGGCAGAGAGAGAGAGAGAGAGAGAGAGAGAGAGAGAATAACTTGGGTTCAGATGACACACTAATGATTTGAACACAAAAAATTGACAGCTGATCTTGGTCTGTTATGGGTTTGAGGTACTAAGAAGCAGTTCAGAAAGCCCCAACCTGAACGTCAGGAATTGATGACTAGTTAGGACTTGATATGACCTTTCTTTTTGGAACTCAACATGGAGCTACATGGTTTTGCCCCTATGTCTTCCAAGGTACATATCTGCTTGGACTTTTCAATTCCATATTTTGTTTTTGTTTTTGTTTTTGTTTTTTTTTTTTGCCTTGGTATGTGAAGTGTCACACTATAGAAGACTTTTGCTTCAGCCAACACATTTATAAGCCAATTCCTAAGGTGATAGCTTTGAAGACCTTCCAAATAGTACAGTATTGATCACATATTCTACACTGTCACTGAGCACAGTGCTTATTAAGTAGCACAACTGAAAAGGTGCAGGAGTCATTGATAGACAGCATGATCTCTTGGCACAGCAAATGTAAAGCTAGATGAAAAAGAGACTGTGGAAGTCTCTTGGTCAGACATTCTCATTTACAGATGGTAGAATCAAGGTGGATCATGAAGCCTTCTGACCTGACTCCAGCCTTTTCTTTGCCCTAGGAACTTCTCAGCACAAAGATTATATTCTGTTCACCTTTTAGCATCACCCCAGTGGCTTATATGGAGACGGCTTTCAGGATGTGTTCAGTAATTATAAATTTCCTTCTTGTTGATACGTAGAAAGAGCACCAAAGCTAAAGACCTGGTCATGTGATATGATTTTAGTGTATGACTCCACTGAGTGGTTTTTCATTGACCATAAATACAGACTAGGGATCATAGGTTTTGGTGATCATGTAATGCATAAATATTTATT